TATATATTCTTGTCTAACATGCTTTTTGAAGGTCAGGTACTTTAAGAAACCAAATAGCTTTTTGTATTTGAATGTGTGCCCCCCTGAAAAAGCCTCAGTCACACTTTGTGCCACCCCTTGTATAAAAGTCTAACTACACCACTGCCTCTAAAACAAATTGTTTCCCACTTCCTACAATTTAGTCCCATAACTTCAGTTTCCATCATGTTCTTGAAACACAATCCCAGCTTAATTACTACCTCTGTGCTCCTTCAGCTCTGAGTTTTGCAAACAGCACACGCTGCCTTACACACAGAGGAATCTTAAATCATCCATGAAAGAAAAGTGGGGAGAATGAGAGAGGAGCTGATGGGAGGAGGAGGAGGAGGAGGAGGAGGAGGAGGAGGAGAAGGAGAAGGAGGAGGAGGAGTCTCACACTGACTTCACATCCATTCAGCCAAATCTGCAGCAACATTGTTTGAACTCACAGATAAGGGAGAGGGGAGGAGGAGCTGGACGATGTTGTCCTAAATGGCCCCTCATACACAAGGACTAGGCTGTCCACTCTATCCGGAGAGGCTGCGTGAAAATGTACATGTGTGGCTCACGACTCACTGAGGAGAGCTGAGGAGGAGGAGGAGCGGTCAGGGGGATCATTAAGCCTTGTTTTCTAATTCTTCTTTTTTTTTTATGAAACGACGTCGCCTTTAAAAACGCAGCGCAGCGGACGTCGCAGGGCTAAAGTTGTGTGTCGAGCCAGATGATCTCCACCTGATCGTTGCTCGGTCAGCTGGCCGGACTGACCGCAGAGGACCGCGGGCGGCTTGTTGTCGCTGCATTGTGGCCACCGACACGCTGATTCCTGCCTGAGGATTGGTTGCACAATCCGCCCCGGTCCCTCCAAAAAAATGTCATCTCAGGCCAAAGTCAAGAAGGACAAAGAGATTATTGCCGAGTATGAGACCCAAGTGAAAGGTTGGTAGCGTGCAGGCCCTGTTTGTGTTGTTGCTGCGGGAATACACCCTTGCATAACTTTACAACGATGTCTCTGTAGGTGCAGTGTTGTGGGGTGGGACTGGGACAGCTGCATGTGTGTGTTTTTTTCTTTTCCTTTTTTTTTTTTTTGTCTGCGCTTAAAATTAAAGAATCATTGCAACTAAAGCAATACATGTTCTATTTAGTTTAGTAGCTGATTATAGTGACAACAATTGAACAGCAACTTGGCTCAGCCAAGCTCTCTGCACTGCAGATGACTGTGTGCAACAACATGCCTAGCCTTGCATGGAAGCAGCTGGAGCTTTATAATTTGCTTCAGAGTGCAGCTTTGGGCTGTTTCTTTTCTTTTTTCTTTTTTTTTTCATTTTCCTTTTTCTTTTTTATTAATTCCCCAGCAATAAAAAAAAGCACTGTAATGAATCAAAGCAATTTGAAAGTTGCACGACTTATTAGGCAGAAAGGGAAAACACTTACACCACTAGTGATCATCTGTGTCAGTGTAGTCATTTTCTCTGTCTCTCCAGGACAAAATGTGATATAAGAGGGAATGCTTGAGAAGGTCACACAACCCAACAGTTCAGAAAGTCCCTGAATAATGTATGCTGTCTGTATGAATTATGAACCATGAAAGGGTTTTACTGTCTGACACTAAATATGTGACTGGATGAACCACCCATAGAGAGAGAGAGAGGAGACTGGAGTCAGGAACAGAGCAGACAATGCAGGGATGTGAATGCCTGTGCTGTCAGTCTTTTCTAGGCAGCTTCGGCTTTCTGCACCTTCATGCATCACCTCTGATTGGCTTTATGTAACTCTGAAGTTGCCTTCAGCTAAAAGTGGCTGCTTTAAAACCAGGTAAAGCAGACACAATTTTGTTAACTGGTGAGCTTGTTTGCAAGGCTAATGAAAAGCCTGGCATTACTTGAAGGAAAGCATGTTGCACGTCACCTTCACCTTTGGTATTAAACTAATCATCATATGCTGAAAATGGCTGTTYTAACATTTCAAATGATGCTATCAGATGATCCTCTGCAATATTGTGTGATGTGATAGTTCTCAAAGTATATGTTGAGGATTACTTTGAGCTACTACCACACCAAATTTTAGCTCATTATCTTTACATTTAGCTGAGTTTTAGCCATTTTTGTGCATGCTAATGTCAGTTGCCTGTGTTGGTCATCTTGAATCACCTTTACTCCAAAACCTAATCAGTCATAAACATACATCCAGTAGTYACATTATGTAAGTTTTATTACAATCTGTCTACTGATCATGAGTTATTTTGCTATTGCCACAAAGAACACAGGCGAAAATGAACATCAAGGTTCATCTTAATCAATGAAATTAGTTTTACCGCTTCCCAGAGGATTTTTTTAGCATTCAAAATAACATCGAATTCAGCTATTTGAATTTAGAAAACCTTCACAAATATCTTAGTTTAAACATTATAAAAAGAAAAATAATCCTCTTGACCATCACTGCTCGTTCTAAAACATTACAATCACTCATCATTAAAGTTTGGCATTAAAGTCTAATAAATGTGTTAAACCTTTGGCTAATAGATTTTCAACAACTGGCTTAGTTGTACTAAGTCAATTTAGATAAAATGCATCTTGATGCCATTTTGGTGCACAGACACATATCCCAAAATGAAAATGAACTTTTGGGCTTGTTTTCACAAATTTTAGAAGTGYAAAAAGCAAGTAGTTTCAAATGACTAGCTCAAAATGTGCACTTGTTAACCTGCGCCTGGAATGAGTATGGTGAGCATTTTGTAGTCAGAGGTGTGGCTGGACGTCTCTGTTTGTTTGACTCTTTCACTCAGTGTGGTCTACACAGAGCTCTGTGGCTGGGAGAGAGCCATCACTGCTCCATCTCCCATCTCAGTTTCAGGAAAAGCTTTTAAGCTGACATCTTAAGCTCATTTGCTAACGGAGGGGGGCTTCGATTGGGTTGTTACAATAAGGACTTTTTTCTGATACAGGCCTCCAATAAAGCTGAATTGCTGACTGCACAGCTTATCAGCTGCAAATGTCGTGCACTTCAACAGATCCTTTTTTCAAAATTAGGTTTTTGAAAAAGGCCTTTTATCCAGTCATTCTGTAACTTGCATTCAAATATCTTTGGATGGTGATCAGGGTAGTTTAAGTGTCTAAATTATTTTATATTTTCCAAATGATTTCCTTATCAATAAGTATAAAAATACTGCAGTGTCTTTGGGAATTATGCATTCCACTGCGATCGTGCAGACCCACCCTTTTGTAGGAATTCATCATAAAATAACCGTTTTGATAGACACTGGTTTAAAATGTCAGGGTTGAATTACAACAGCAGCACAGTATCTTTGTTGTTTCTGTCTTGGTAACATGTTTGAGCTGCTGTTTGTTGCTCTGTTGACAGATATGTGTAGATATGTGTCCACATTTCTGTTTTCAGATTTGCAGAGAAACCGTACGTATTGGATGTTTCTGTGTGATTACACAAAGAGCCATGCCTTTTGTTGTTAGAAACATTTCTCAGGCGTGTGAGAGAGGACGTGGTGTGAACTCAGCCAAACGGGCTATAAAAGCATACCATAGTCATTACTCCATCCAGAAGACAAGCGCTCACAGAACACAGCCGTAACCGAATTATGTCATTCTAGGTTCGACATCGTGCGGCTATTACACACAGTATCAATCACAGCTGCTGGCCGTTCCAATAGCTGTGCTGGGCTACTTTGATCAAGTTAATGTGGTCATATTGACTCCTGGCTGGGTGATATTTGATTCTCTGTGCTGCAGTAAAGCATGAGAGCTGCAATGGAACAATGACCAATTTTTTCCCCCTTCTTTCATTTCACTGTGTGAGATGTGAGGGTACGGCCGCCACAAACACGCCTGCGCTTGGTGTCTTTTTGACGCCGCAGGGTGACGGCCTAATAAGATCTCAGTAAAGGCTGGCAGTTTTAAGCTCTAAACCTCTTACAGTGAGCTCAAACGGGATGAGATGATATAGATAATAATGAGTGACTTTACAGTTGAAGACGGAGCTAATCTTAAACATTTCCATAGATGTTGGGTATTATTTTATGAGTACCAAATGGTAAATGGTCCACAGTTTTCATAGTGCCCTTTTAACCATTCCAAGTTCTGCAAAGCCCCTGAAATTCTGCCTCCGCAACACATACTATGATAACAAAAATGCCATCAAGTTTACCAACTCACATTTTCTCACATGCCAACAGGCTCTATACATTTCAAAGTATATAATCCCGTTTTGGCTGTCAGGATACATCAGCAGTATTGGGTAGCATCAAATGTCTAAAATCCTGTGAGTAAATTTCCGTAAAGCTTTGGGGTGAAGAAAACATTCCACTCCAGAGCAAAGAAACTGGTATAGCATGTTACTCTACATTGCATTACTCTAAACAAAAAGGAAGAAACACTTTTGAGACCTGTTTCTTTGTAGATAGTTTGCTGAAGTCATTGCGAGTTTCTGTGTAATTATGCATTACTCTGCAAAGGCTTGAATCATTCATTGAATGTAGTGCAGCGTTGCTCGTTACAGTTTTAGGTTCTAAAAATACCACAGAGCGGAAGGCAAATGCATATATGGCAAGTCTGTTTCCTTCTGAGTTCATAAAGCAAAATCAATTCAGTTTTAATTTGTTTCCTTCAATCCACTGTGGGATTAATAGTAATTTAAAACCGAGAACCTGGCAAATTATGCCGATTTGTGATGTATTTTAGTTTAGGAGCAACATCACAGCTCTTTCTGTTTTGAACTTGATTGCTGCCTCATTCATCATCAGAGGCTGTTTGTTGCATATTTTGAAGCAGAGCAAGTTGCCCTTGTCCTTGGCCATTATGCTAAACAGACTGACTGCTGCGACTGCTTGAGCYGGGAACTGGCCTGCTCTCATTGAAATGCCTCCAGTGGCATGTAACCAAGCAACTGGGCAACTGTGGGGACCGTGAGAGGTACATCTCTCCACACATCAAGGGACTACATATTTACTTTGTTTCCCTTCGTCTCTGCTAACCCATTCCATTCACATTTTTTCCTCCCAGACRTTGCGAGGAACATTTCTGAAATAYGAAACATTTTTTTTCTATGGGGCAACTTCTTTTATTGCTACATTCAGATACTTTCTGTGGGCACAACAGTCGTATGAAGGGTTGTAGCAGCTTGTCATACATCAATCTCAAATTGTTCTACATTCAGCATAGATGGAAAAATTCTTTGCGTACATTTCTGTGTAAAATACACACAGATCACCTCACTGGCAGTTGAGCATAATCATTAGAAATGCACTGAGTATTTTTGACCAGTTCAACTTTCCAATTTGTATTTTTTCAGCTAGCACTGGCCCTTGGGGATTCACATGCAACAGCAGCTTAGTCCCTGAATTTATCACAGCCTATTACTGGGATGACATAGAGTAGATTTTTATTTAAATAGTATTTCTGCTTCATGAGATGATTTTATTGTATTTTATTTTATTTTTTTGATAACCCGAAATGTCTGGATTTATTTTGAAATTGCCAAACAAATACAGACTATTCAGGATGGACTCAGAAGTTATTTTTTAGGGGTGCAACGATACAGAAAATTCACGGTTCGATTCGGTTCGATACTTTAGTCTCACGGTTCGATATTTTTTCAATACAAAAAAGAGAAATTTCCACGCCCCTTTTAATTTCTAAATTATTTAAATTAATGAACATTTGTTTAACCTCAAAAGTACAGTTTTTAAATTAAATGTTGCTGAAACAGCAAGTTTCTCAGTTGATCTGCACTCAAAAATGCAGCCTAGGTGGAGTAGTCGAACACAGATCCACTGATCCTTTAACACAGAGCATCTTCAGAAGACAAGTTGATAAAGTAAATTTTAAAAATCGGTATTGTTCGATACAAGTGTGTATTGAACCTAAAGCACTGTTCGATATGGGTACATGTATTGTTGCACCCCTATTATTTTTAGGTGAGGTTGATTTAATAAATCTGTAAAGTTATCCTCACCAGTGAAAGAACAAAACCAGATTGTCTCCAGGACATTATCTGGTAAAGTTTTTTACTTTGGAAATATTTACGTAAACAGATTTTTTCCTCATTCTGATATGCCTATCCAGATTGTGTAAAACCTCACACACAAAGAAACCACCATAATCATGTCCTCACAAGATTTCTTACAATTTGTTTATTCAAGAAAAAGAAACAGAACTCGTCTGGAGGCTCACCCACTCAGCACAATGCATCTTGAGAAGCTGACCTATTTCGAATTTTCCGTGCTGTCTGCTGCAATCATCAGACATGTATCTCATACTGTATGCACGTGAGACACCCGCCACCCCCACCCACCCGCCACACTCCCTCTCACCCTCGGCCCACGCAGACACATGCATGTATAGATGGCAGACAAATACTTTTTGGCATCTAGTGTTCACCAGTTGTCACTGTTCTTTCATTGGTGTTTAAGCTGGTTTAAATCTGTTCTCACTTCTGCTTTAACATGCGCCGGCTACCGAGAGGTTGTGGGTTTACTGTTGACAGCAACACAGAGAAACATCGCCCAGTTTGTTAGCTTGCACCTGTTTTATTTTCTGTTTATTAAATTTTTTTAATGTGCAGAAATTCGTAATCAGCTGGTGGAGCAGTTTCGCTGTCTGGAGCAACAATCCGAGTCCCGACTGCAGCTGCTGCAGGATCTGCAGGAGTTCTTCCGCCGGAAGGCCGAGCTCCAGCTCGAGTATTCCAGAGGCCTGGATAAACTGACCGAGCGCTACTCCGCCAAGATCCGCACCTCCAGAGAGCACCAGCACTTCAAGTGAGTACGCCTCTACCTAATAAACAACCACAATGTACGTGTCGTACTGATTATTGACACTGCAGACACAGAGGAAAACTGAGGAGGGATAAAAAAAAAAGGGATAAAAGCAAAAGGAAATGACCTGAAATGAATCCAGGGCCAAGAAGGCTTGCGGCCCCCGGGCTGCTGTGTTTCTCCCAACTAGGTCAGACTCTTTATCT